GTGGGCGGGGGGGAGCGAGGAGAGGATTCACCAGAGACAGAGTGGGGAACAGGAACAGGTAGACTGATGGAAGTAGACTGCTGAGGGGAGCAGTGGGCAAGTCAGGAGAGTTCTGCTGCACCACGTGGGTAGCTCCCTGGCCGGCCAGGGATCGAACTGGTGCTGCAGAGGCTGCAGACAGCCTCACAGGCTATGTCTTAACCCTTTGTGCCACCAGGGAGGCCCTAATTACATGAAAGATTGTTTTTTGCTTCTCCATCTCTATGCCCCAGTAGTTGCTTTCCTTTTACTCAACTGCAGCTGAAGCAAGATAAAATTTAAGTGCTTTGCTTTTTGTTTTTATTCAGACAAGATATTTTTATTCTTTAATTATTTTATTACAGTTTCTCACGTCATTAGGACTTAATTTGTACACAATAAGTAGAATTAATTTTAATTAGTAGCCTTGGATTGTGAACTTTCCTTAGCAACATACCAGAAAAGACCTAGCTTTCTGAATGCTTTAAGAACTTCCATGCTTTTCTAGAATTGTACTCTAAAAAGAAAAACAAAAAGATACATAAGTGTATGTCCCTAACACAATCTATTTATTTAAAGCACTTTAATCACTTTGGGATATTTATTTATCGCAGTTGAATCACCCTGGGACACTTTTACTAACGTTTGGGGTTTTTCCAGGTCTCCTTACAATAGTCAGCAAAAGGATCATCAATACTGTCCCTTCCCTGCCCATACCTGTCCCTCAGGAATTTTAAAGTGATCACTTCATTGTCACGACTTCAAGCTGAGACCGTAAGAGTTAGTAATGCCTAAATGTGATGTAATTTTCTGAGAATGAGGAAAGTGACAATTTATGGAACCCAAGACAATAAAACAGCTGGCATTTTTAGCATTTTTAAATTGCTTACTACATGCTAGCATTGTTCAAATCCTTCCGCCCCTGCCAGCTCGCTGAACTCCTCTGTTCATCCCATTCTTCCAGGGGCACAGCTGAGGCCTGGAGAGGCCCAGTAGCTGCCCAAGGTCACAGAGTGGGGCCAGGGCACATTGTTGAACCCACGCCTCTGCCTCCAGAGCTGAAGCCTGTGGACTTGACTGCCCTGCTTCCTGCTTGAGGAAAAACAAGCAGGGATATGGGAAAAGCCGATGTGTTTTTTTGTCTCACAAGTTTGCCTTGCATAGCCTTGGTTCTTTCTCTTGTCCCACATTCTTTTTTTTTTTTTTTTTAAAGATTTATTTATTCATTCATACAAGAACTGGGGTACAGGCCAGAGGTGTTGAGGGGGGGATGCGGTGAGAGGATTCGCCAGAGACAGAGTGGGGAACAGAATAGGCGGATTGACTGAAATACACTGCTGAAGGGAGCATGGGCGAGTCAGGAGAGGTCTGCTGCGCCATGTGGGTACCTCCCTGGCCAGGGATCAAACTCATGCTGCAGTGGCTGCAGATAGCTTCATAGGTTGAGTCTTAACCCCTTGCACTACCAGGGAGGCTCTTGTCCCACATTCTGCACTTACAAATTCCAACAGTCTATTTACTGGGGTGGGATGGCATCTCATTATTTAAAGGTATTCATAGTTCTTTGGAAGAAAGGGTACATAAATATTACAGAACCATTTTCTTCACAAGGCAAACTTATGAAGAGAGGAAATATATGAATTGTATTCCCCTGAATATATGATGCATGTAGTTCTCATTCTAAATAAGCAGAGGGAAGCTGACTTTCTGATGAGTCCAAGGAAGGTGGTTGCTGGAGTTCTTGTGCACTTCCTTGATGCCGGCTGCCTAGGTTCCAGACTCGATGTCAAACCCTGCGAACACCCACACCAGAAACTGCCTCCACACAATGGCTGTGCCTCCTTGTGCCTTTCTGCTCAAACTTCTAAGTGCCAAATTCCATATGAGAATGAGGCAGCAGCAGCAATAGACAAATAAATTGTGATATTTTCATGCAACAGAATACCACTTAGCAAGAAAAAATGAACTCAATATATGTACAACATGAAATGAATTCATAAGTATTTATGTTAAAAGAAGAGAGACACAAAATAGTATCTACTGTATAGTTTTATTGAAGCAAAGTTTAACAAGGGTATAACCTAGGGTGGTGGGTGGAGTGTGCATGAATTGGGAAGGGGCATAATGTGAACTTAAGAAGGGAACTGTTTTTAAAAAAAAATATTTATTTATTTATGCATACAAGAGCTGGGGTACAGGCCAGAGATGGGAGGTGGGGGGAGGTGAGAGGATTCACCAGAGATAGATTGGGGAACAGAACAGGCAGATTGACTGAAGTACACTGCTGAAGGGAGCAGCGGGCGAGTCAGGAGAGGTCTGCTGCACAAGGTGGGTTGCTCCCTGGCTGGCCAGGGGATTGAACTCGTGCTGCAGAGGCTGTGGACAGCCTCATAGGCAATGTCTTAACCCCTCGTGCCACCAGGGAGGCTCAGGGAGCTGTTTTTGAATGTGTTTCCTGTCAGGTATGAACTGTTATGAAAGCCATAAGGTTGTGTATTTGTGTCTAGTGACTTTATGCATGTTAAACCTCCATAAAAAAAATAAAATGAAATAACAAAAAGCTTGAAAACTGTGGAGTTGCAAAGGCATGAGAGGATCAGTTGAAGGCAGAGCTCAGCTCAGAGTGGGGTTTAGAAGTCAAGCTCAGGGATCTGACCTGAGTGCACCCAGCCCAGGACCTTGAGGAGAGGCAGGATCAGACTGAACCATTGAACACTTCCTCCTCATCATTTTGTATGGGAGCTGGGATGGAGGTGTTAGAGGTAGAGATTACCTGAAACAGCCCCTTGTCTGACAGAAATCCAGTTGTGCTTCTGTTGACTTGGGAGGTGCACACTTTCTGTAAATACAAATATCCACCCAGGAAGTAGGACAAGAGGAGAGACGGCTATGTGTATCTACCCCTCCAGGTGAGGCTTTTCACATTTTAAAATTTCTTTAGAGGCTGTGTCACCTTGGGCTTAGAAAACCTTGGGTTCCCCAGGGCAGGCCTTCAAGCCTAGGGACCTTCATAATCTCTCAGTCAACCTACCCTAACTCCTGTCATTGTTCAAGTCTTCCTCTATTCTTCCCAGCATTTGCATGGGGGAGGAAGAGGTCACTACTGGTCACACTGACCTAGAGAATATGCAAGAATCACAAGGTCATTTCCATGGGGACTGGATATAATTTGCACATTCTCACTCGGGCATGCTGTCAAAATTCAAGGAATTTTCCATATTAAAATTAAAGACAAGTGTTTTCAGAAATTGAATTGAACAGATGATTTTTTAATGTATCTGACTCATAGCTGCAGGTCTTTGTGTGTTTTTGAGCTGTTTCTATGTCATTTTCAATAAGCATTTTAAATACAAAACAATGTTACAGAGGTATCACCATAAAAGGGGAAGTATAGGGCAAATGAAGATTGCTCAGGCTTTTGTGCCATTAACCTCTATGGGAGCATGAATTTGGAGTATGCATGCCTGATGGTGGACACTTGGAGGATGGTGTGGGCATGTATAATGGGCACATCTGAGCCGAGAGACTGAGTACATAAGGGCAGCGGCAGAGGGCAGTGCAGCGGAAGACGGCGGAGCTATGGCTGAGGAGACTATGAGAGAACGCCAGAGAGCAGAGTGAGTAAAGATTCACCAGGGGCTAGGAGGGCTACCAGCCTCCCAGCCCCGCAGGCACCCCTGTCTGCCTGGTGCCTGGTTGCCTCACTACAAGTGGCATAGAAAGATCATTATAAGCCTGAAAAAGCTGGGCCTCCCTGGTGGCGCAAAGGGTTAAGACGCAACCTATGAAGCTGTCCACAGCCACTGCAGCACGAGTTCAATCCCCGGCCAGCCAGGGACTAACCCACATGGTGCAGCAAACCTCTCCTGATTCACCCACTGCTCCCCTCAGCAGTGTATTTCGGTCAATTTGCCTGTTCTATTCCCCACTCTGTCTTTGGTGAATCCTCTCACCACCGCTCCATCCCCGACCTCTGGCCTGTACCCCAGTTCTTGTATACATACATAAATAAATCTTTAAAAAAACAAAAAAACCTGAAAAAGCCACTGAGGGCTCCTGGACTCTCTCTTACCATCTGCCGGGGTCCATAGAGAACCCGCCCTGTTCCTTGCTGGCACGATAGTCCATGGCAGCTGCCTTGGACTAGCTAAGAGGAACTGGAGGACAGGGCTGAGCAACCAGATGAAGCTCTAGAACACAGAAGGTAGGTGGACTATGGAGGAGAAGAGCTCTTGTTTTCTGTGGCCCAGCTTGAAGTCTGCTTAGAAGGAAACACATAGAAGAGAGACACGTAGAGACACTTAAAAGAAACACGTGATAAAGGGGGAGGCTGACGACGACAGCTGTTACCCTGAAGCGGTATCTCCTTTTGTCCCAGCTTTCTGGGACCTGCTTCAGAGCCCCTTTCCTATGGTTCCCCACCAGAAGGTGCCTTAGACTTGTGGGAAGCTTTCAGGTCTCCGCAGTCCCACTTCAGGCCAACTCTGGTTGGGCATTGGCTCACAAGGGCATGGGAAATTGAGTGTTTATTGGGACACTATTATTCTTTCTTCTCTCTGCACATTAATTCTACTAAAGATCTTTCAAAATGCAAGTCTGCTTTGGCTTTATGAGCATATTGGCCAGATTCCTTTAGAGTGTGCAAGTTTGTTTGGGGACCGCAGGGTGCCCCTCGGTCACATGCTAATACTTCATGTATATCCATGTGTGTACTTCAGAATGTATACACAGAATAATGCTATGTCAGTAATCTGAGCTCTTTTTTGATATAAGCTTCTTCAGGGGCGGTCCTGTATTTTTCATCAGACACATCAAAGTAGCCACTTACAGATCATTAATATATTATGACGTTTGGATTTAAAACAAATGCATTTCAGCAAATGTAATACTCAAATTTGGAAAATGAGTGTGTGTGTTTATGTGTAATATGTAATTAACCTTCAATTTACAAATGGATTACCTGAACCTTAACGTATTCTTAGGAGTGCCTGAAGAAATTCAGACAATATAACTTCTGATCAAGACTTTTTCTGGGGGCCTCCCTGGCAACGCAGGGGTTAAAGACACAGCGTTATACACAGTGTTATCAAGCTATCATCAACCACTGATGTAAGAGTTCGATCCCCAGCCCCAGGGAGCAACCCACATGGCTCAGCAGACCTCTCCTGTCTCACCTGCTGCTCCCCTCAGCAGTGTATTTTACTAGATCTGCCTGTTGTGTTCCCCACTCTCTCTGGTGAATCCTCTCACCACCACCACCCCCAAACCTCTGGCCTACATCCCTAGTTCTTGTATGCATAAATAAATAAATCTTTGAAAAAAAATGACCTGTTCAACTGGCTGGAAAGGTAAAGATCAATCTTCGACAGCTCAGGTAAAAGAAATTGTGAGGGGGCCTCCCCAGTGGTGCAGTGGTTGAGCGCTGGGTTGCAAAGCTGCCCGCAGCCTCTGCAGGGCAGGTTTGATCCCGGGCTGCTCCCCGGCCACTGGAGGAGGGTCCCACGTGGCGCGCAGACCTCTCCTGCCGCCCGCTGCTCCCCTCAGCAGTGTGCTTCGGTCCTTCTGCCTGCTCTGCTCCAGGCTCTGGCTCTGGTGAATTCTCTCACCCTCCCGCGCTTCTGACTGTACCCAGTCCTTGTATAAATAAATAAAATAAAATAAAATAAATCTTTAAAAAAAAAGAAAAGAAATTGTGAGGATGAGTTGCCCCAAGTCCTGTTTGAACAGATGGACTAAATCATGGACCGATGGACTGGTGAGCCCTGTCCATGCAATCTGGCCCACCACACTGACCAGCAGGCAACATGATAGGCAAAAAGCATTAAATCATGATAAATGATTACCTCACAATCTCCTGGAGGGAGAAAGCTGAGAACCTGCATGTGCATTTGTAATGTACCTCATTTGCACATACCGGACTGTGACCCAACCCAGAACAAGCTGCTCCCCTTCTCCCAGCCTTGGCCTCATGGACTTACCCTTTAAATATCCCCTCCTGATCATGCCTAGCGAAATAAGCCAGGAAGAAAAAGAAAAATACCGGATGGTCTCAGTCATAGCAGGAATTTAGAAATCCTAAATAAGGGACCAGGAAAAGACTAATTATAATAAAAAAAAATCAAAATCAACAAGCAACTATAAACCAGAGACACACTACAGAGGGGGAGAAGGGAGTAGGATCAAAACACGGGGGGTGGGAATTGTACGGGGACTATCACCAAGATGAAAATGCATACATTGTGCAAAAATGAAGTAAAAAATATATATAATAAATATCCCCTCCTAACTCTCTTCAAGGAGCCAGGCTAATTCTCCTCCCCACCCCACCCCTTCCCAGATACATGGGGAGGTTGGGAGGCTGGGGAGTTGGGGAAGGTGGGGATAGGAAGTAGGGGTGCGGATGGGAGTGCAGGGGGAGGGTGAAAGGGTCAGCTTTGTGCAGGAGACACCAGCTGATTTTATTAATCTAGGAGGACTTGATCACTACCAAGTTTGATGGGTGTGAGAGGAAAATTGGCTGGTAATTAAGATTCATGGGATTTTTTTTTTAAAACCAAGGTTATTAACAACAACAACAAGAAGATAATCCACGATGACCAAACTATAAACATAGTATAGAAAGGATCTGACACTACATTTGTACGATCTACTGTACTCATTTAGCCCTAAATCCTGTCAATGGCATTAACATGTCATTTATCTCAACCATAGAGTTTTTATATTTCCATAAAGTCTGTGCCCAAGGTGAGTTTTGCACTTAGCTCACCAGAGTCTTCTCCTTGAGGTAGCCTGCACTTTATAGCAATTAAATTCAACAATGAGACAACATGAATGTGAAACACATTTAAGTGATGCAAAATAATGTAAAACAAAATGCAGCCGCATATGCATTTGTTGATGTAAATACTCTGCCATGCAGCTACCTTAAATTCTACATAGCATGATCTTAGAGTGAGGGAGAAAGTGAAACCATAGTACTTTCTAGGCCCAGGTGCAGCAGGCCCAGGTGCGAAACCTCCTGATCAGCAGCTTGAAGCCCATCAAAAGCAAAGCAGCAGCACTAACCGCTCCTGTGCTGAACTAGTGTTTTAGCAATTCCCACATTACTTCAGTGCCTGATAACCTTTAATCTTACATTTTTGTGCTCCTTGAGCACAAAATGTATCCTCAGGCTTCACATGAGAGACCCTTCGGTCAGTGCATTGATGTTCTGCAGCTCAGTTGCAACATGGGTGTGGGTAGAGGTATCTCCATATCTACAAGCAATTCTCAGACACCTTCAGGTATTAGCCAACTCGATGCTGACACTATCTCCCTGGAGATAGCATCAGATTCCACAGGTTTAGGGTTTGGTCTTACAAGACCACCCTCCACTTTAGATACAGGTCACAAGCCCCAGGTGATTGGTTACCTGTGTTTCTATCCAGCCAGCTTCAGATTGCCGGTTCCCGTGGGCTTTTCGTCAGCTTCAATTTTCTTTCAATTAATTTGCTAGAATGACACACAGAACCCAGGAAACCTGTTTACTCAGTAAATCACCAATTTATTACAAAGAATACTAAAGGAGTGGGCCTCCCCTGGTGGCGCAGCGGTCGAGCACTGGGTTGCGAGGCTGCCCACAGCCTCAGCAGTGCCAGTTCGATCCCCAGCCACCGGCGAGGGTCCCCCAAAGAATACTAAAGGGGGCCTCCCTGGTGGCGCAAGGGGTTGGGACGCAACCTATGAAACTGTCCACAGCCACTGAAACACATGTTCGATTCCCAGCCAGGGAGGTGACCCACATGGCAGAGCAGACCTCTCCTGTCTCGCCCACTGCTCCCCTCAGCAGTGTATTTCAGTCAATCCGCCTGTTCTGTTCCCTACTCTGTCTCTGGTGAATCCTCTCACCCCCCTCCCCCACACCTCTGGCCCATACCCTAGTTCTTGTATGCATAAATAAATAAATCTTTTAAAAAAATAGAATGACAAAGATAAGTCAGAATTTTTTCAGGATGTAAGTGGTGATTTGCTTCGTTCTTATGATTCTTACATGTTTGTTTCCCAAACTTCTAGCCTAAAAAGATCACATCTAAGTGTTACACCTCCTGCAAGAATGTACAGTACAATGATTCCCTGTTCCAGGACATTACATGCTTTAGTGAGTCATTAACAGACTTTGGATGTTTTGTTTTCCTACTAAGGTGTCAACTGAACTCGTAATCACACTGAGGGTCAGCATGGTTTCCTTTTAGCTGATCTAGTACATATTTAAAGATCTCCTGATGTCCAGATCCAAGAACATCATCATTCATGTGCTCACTGTGAAAGCAGTCACAGTTGTCTTTAAAATCTACAAACAGTTCTCGGAATGGCTAATGTGCTATTTATGCACAACAACCCCCAAGCCCCCCATCCAAACATTATTTTGGTTGTGCTGGAACTCCCTGGGTTCATCTGTACAGACATTTATTCTGTGACAAGTTCATTTCTTGCTATGAGAATTTTAACTGTTTTCTATTATGGTTTTTGACTTCCTTACTGCCAAAGGGTAATTGTATCCAAGATCTTTTTTCTTATTTTTTATAAAAAGTCTTGTTGATTCCTCAAGATAAGGTGGGATTTCTTTCTCTTTATATTTTTCCAGCTAAATTATTTCGTGTATCAGAGATAAATAATACATAGAACATAATCATTCATTAAGGACGACAAAGTTAACTCATCATGAATCTCCTGGAACTAAAGAACACCCCTTTATCTTTCCTCTCAGAAGGTATTGGGCTACAAAATTAGAACAACCCAAGGACATGTTGGTATGCATCTCTGTGCTTTGGTTGCCAAGTACAAGAGGTGAAATGAGTTGCTGATATATATCTTAGGGGGTACACACTCGTACTGGACAACCCGAAAATGACTGCCCTGTACTAGAAAGAACATCGCGCTCTCTTCAGTACTTTGAAGCTTCTTTTACTGTTTGTGGCTGCCCGTACATGCTGGGTAGCTTAGTTGGCTGGAGCATTAAGTACCAATTGTTCCACAGGAGAGAACAAGCCCAGAGTCCTACAGGGCCCCTGAGCCAGGAATGCTCAGCACAGAGCAAGAGGAGAGAGGCCAGACATGAGCCCTGCACGACCACTCAGATTCTATCAGGACAGCGCGGGCCAGGGTAGAATCTGGCTGACAGGCCCTCCCTGAAGCTGAGAGATACTAGGGCTACTTCCATTTTTTTTTTTAAAGATTTATTTATTTATGCATATAAGACTTGGGTACAGGCCAGAGATGCGGGGGGTGAGAGGACTCACCAGAGACAGAGTGTGGAACAGAACAGGTAGATCTACTGAAATACACTGCCGAGGGGAGCAGTGGGCAAGTCAGGAGAGGTCTGCTGTGCCATGTGGGTAGCTCCCTGGCCAGCTGGGGATCGAACTCGTGCTGTAGTGGCTGGCGATAGCTTCACGGTGCTGTCTTTAACCCCTGCGCCACAAGGGATGCCCAGGGCTACTTCCATTTTTTAAGGGTGCTGGTATATTAAAAAATAAATGCTGACAAATGTATCTAAATTGTGGTATATTTTAAGTGTCTCCAATCATTAAAATGACAAATTGAACATCTTTTTATCTGTGGTTGTTTTACTTCACTGTATGCCAAAGTCAACATTTGAGGCCCTCAGTGAATGGTAGTCCTTGGCCAAATGCCTTTCCTGGATTTCCCTGCCCTATAGTTCAACTCCAACTTGGACCAGTCAGCCTGCCAAGAAGGCCCAGGCTATTCTCGGAACTTTTCTCTCACTCTACAGTTTGGACAGCCTGTGCTTGGAACATCCCTCAGTAAGTACACATTGAGTAAATGAATTGAATGTTCTTTAAACATGTGCAGTAACTTTCTTCATTACTCTTCTACAATGCCCTCTAACCAGCTCCCCCAATCCTGTATTCTACCCATCTTTGAAATTCCAGTCAAGCACTATGTTTTTAATGACATCTGTTCTGATTACTGTGCCCAGTGTCCTCTGTATGCTGAGAAGTATCTTCTGCATTTACAATCAAAGCCATTTTTAGTTGTTTGATACTCCCATGCCCTCAACCCCCACTCCCACCCCAGCCTAGGAC